GTCATCCATGTAGGCCTCCATGTTTTGTCCTAAGGCAGCTTGAAATACCTTGACTACCATCCTCATATATGTTGATCCAAAATTTCAAAGTCTGAATGTCACTAACAAGTAGCAAAATACACCTTTGGGGGTTATTAAAGATGGTTTATATGCATTGTTCTCGTGCAAGGATATCTGGTGATACCCCCTGAACACATCCAGTAAGGATAGTAACACACATCATGCCATTTGGTCAACCAACAGGTCAATGTTAGGGAGGGGGAAATGTTCCATTGGACATGCCTTGTTGAAGTCTGTGTAGTCAATGCACATGCTCCAAGTCGGCGGTTTGGGTGCCAAAACTAGATTAGAAAGCCACGCCGGATAGTGGACTTACTTAGTATGTTTAATCCCCAAAAGCATATTGACTTCCCCTTTCAGAAACTCCTCCCTATTTTAAGAATGTGTATCTTCTCATCTGCTTCACCAACGTCATGCTGGGATTCAAATTTAGGTGATGCACCATAATGCCCTTGACATTTGAGAGATCTTCTTGATTGTTGACTTGAGCATTGTTCTTCAATGGGTTTTGCAAGCCCTGACGTAACAACTTCTTGCCATTTCTTTGTCACCTCTCACTACCCCAATGCCTACGGGAGTATATGAATTTATTCATAAGTGGGATTGGGACACGATGATGCCCAAGTCTTGCAGAAGAGGTCTTCCCATAAATGTTTTGTGGATTCTAACCACCACCACAAAATCTACATCTACTTTTCGTACACAAGGTTCTGAGTCGAGGAGTTAGACCGTAATGGTCACCACTCTCTCTGGTTCAATGGAATCGTAAGTAAACCAGCCAAGGGAGTCTTGACTGGTGTCATGTCATCTTTCTTGAGGCTGATCTCCTGGTAAATGCTGAAATAAAGGATGTTCACAAAACTATCAATGTCCACCAACATTGTGTGGTCAATCACGTCCAGAACCTCCATCTGAATCGCTGAGCCATCCACCGTGTGTAGGTGGACATGGTGGAAGATAGTCATCCCTAAAAAAGACCCGCTCCCATTTATGTTTTTGTCTACCGGAAGCGTGCTAATCTCCCTGATGAACAATTGTCTCCCCCATCGGTCCCCTATAAAATTGATTGGCATGGGGGCGTTTTTGTCTCCCACCTCCTTCCCATCACCTGAATCCTCCACATCCCGTTCTCGGATGTCGAGGCATGTCCATCTTTATATTTGATTAACAAGTTTTTCTTTTGGGGAGGCGCGATCTGCTATTTCTTTACAAATGGATCCAGCTCTCCTACTCATATAAGTTTCTCCACATACCTTTTTAGAATATAACACTCATCTATCTTGTGGGTATCACTCTTGTGCAGCTTACAATATTTCTTTCGCCCTCACTAGGTCGTGATCCTGTTACAGGAGCGTGGTAAAGTTACGAGGCCTTATTTAACCGTGTAATCTAGCACCGTACACACCGGGTTTGATAGCGGAGAGAAATCATACTAGACGGCGGGTGGGCCATCTGGGGCACTAGAGTTGCCTTTGCCTTAACCTTTCATTTTTCTATTGAACCCCCTACCCATATACTCTATCAGACACCTTTCAGAGGGCAGTATAAACCACGACTATGGTTTTTCAGGGATAATACCGAATGCTAGTATCAACCTAGGGCTCTAAAGCCCTTTGATGAGATGATGACTACACCGCCACCCCATGCTTTTGACGTTGAGGAGCCGTCTGTGTAAAGGATCCATATGTCGATGTCATCCGATGTCGAAGTGACGAGGGTGGTGTCCCTCACAGTGCATTCCACCACAAAATCCATGAGTGTTTGCCCCTTATGAAATGTATTGGCTTGATTTCAATGTGGTATTGATTAAAAAAAAACGCCCATTTTATCATCCGAGAGGAACTGGTGGGGCTTCTCATTAATGTGTTGAGGGATTGTTGAGTGAAGACGTGGGTATTGTGCGCTTGGAAGTAGTGCATAAGTTTCTTCATCATAGGGCTCTGTTGTAATGCATACCCAATTATCACTAAGCGTGGATGTGTCACGCTCTACCATGCACTAGGGCTCACGCCAGAGAATAACCAACACGTATACATGCATTTAATGCATCTCTCATTTATTACTAGTATAAATATCTCCCTTGGGGAAGTTGTAAAGGATCCAAGTCTCATTTAATACACATATACTCTCTCTACTCGTAACTCCCCTTTCTCTCTACAATACCACTAACGGTTTACCGTGAGCTATCAGTGGCCAAATTCGTTAGTGCCTTCACGGGGTCCATGCCCTGAAACGGATCTCCACCACTAGGAATCTGCATCTGTGATCTATGAGTCGCAACTTTGCAAGGTTCCTTGAACTTCCTACGCCATTGAAAGGATTTCTCAATTTGTCTGTAGTTAGCATGTTGCCATTTCGTCTTCGGGAATCTCTCTGACTTGAACGGGATCCTTCGTCCTCAATTAAGACTTGGTTCATCTTAACGTCGCCATGGTTGCCGACAACACGGTTGTTGCCACACAATCCAACCATCGTTCAATATGGTAAAGAGATCAAAGAACAGTTCTCAATGAAAATGTCAAATGATAGTGTATTCAAGGTAGTATGATTATTCCAACCGCAAGAGCTAATTTATCTTTGCGTAAGGTAGTATGATTATTCAAGAGCAGCGTCTATTTCTGGGTTATTTACAAAGAGTATTTATAGGCGTAGAGTTATACAACTAGGAGACACAATTGATATAACTAATGACTTTAATCATAATAGAACTCATATATTGTTTCTCCATAACTTCTGTATTTAACGTCTGCTTGGTATCCACGTCTCCTCAGGCGATTTCTTGTCGCTGCTAGTTACCAATATCTGTTACATATCAGATGCCATATAATCCCTAGGAAGAGTCCGACCTCAACATAATTTTCTTCGGGTCTGAAACTTGCCATCCAATTTGGCTTAAGTGTGACTATCCTCGTGGTGGGCTTAAAGTCTTAAATCTACATGTTCAGGCTTTATGACTTATTTATTGATTCTTCATCCGAGTTGGGCTGAAGTTAAGTGTCTATTTCCAAATTTGGACTATTAATCGAGCCCATAGTACCATCGTCTTCAATCTTTGTTCTCTAAAAGTAAAATAAATAAATAATAGTAATATTAATAATTAATAAATACTCCATTCATTATTCAAATCAGTAATATTTTTTATTAAATTAAATTAATAATTTCAAACCAGTCCCTTTGAGTCCTTTCCAAATTTGAATCGATTCCAAATTCCAGATCGAAACCAAAATATATCGAGTTTGATTTTTTTTATTACTATTTTTCACAAATATGATTCTAATCCCGGCCTGGTTTTGAGCCTCTCCAAATTTAACTTTGCACTCTGTTTTGAAAAATATTTGTTTTTGCACCCCAACCAAGTATGAAAAGATAAAAATGCTCCTCGATCAGGAATATGTTGAGGCCAACATAATTGTTAATTGAGGTCAGACATTTTTATCTTTTCATATGAGGTTATGTGCAAAAACAAAGATTTTTGAAAACAAAGTGCAAAATAAATATTTTTGAAAACGGGGTGCAAAGTCTAATTTGGATGAGGTTGAAATACAAAGGGGGTTGCTACGCGCACCCCCATTGTTGCTTAATGTAACCACGCAGAGACCATTTTGCCCTCTTTAATTTTTTGTGCCGAGTAACTAATTCGGAGCAAGTGATTCCATCTTCACACTGCACGTTGGCAATTTCTTTTAATAAATGGACTTTTATACAATTTTCATAAACTATACACTGGTAGCAAATGTTTTCTTTCATAAACTATCATTATGATTTTTTATTTTTTATTTGATTTTTATAAAAAAAATATATTTAGGTCATACAACAAATTTATACAATTTTTTTATATCACATCAATATTACATATTTAAAATTGAAAAATAACTTTAAATAATACAAACTATCTTCCATGAATCAAAATTAACACATACTTTGAAAATAAGTTTTAATATTATCAACTACTAAAATATAGACCAAAAATGATATAGGGAGCAATTTCTATTTAAAAATTTCACCATTTTTCTTATAAAAAACATGTATCAAAATATCTAATAAGTGAATGTATTTTCAAATATCATTTATTTGATGGATTGCCATAAGTTTTTATGTCTTAAATCACCCAAATTCTTATAAAAAAGTTACTCCATATTATTTTTGTTTGACATTCAGATAGTTGGTATTATTAAAATTTATTTTCAAAGTGCATATTATTATTGGTTTGTGGATGATACTCCGTAGTTCATATTATTTAAAGTTATTTTTTCTTAAAATTTTTGAAAAAGTATATTCATTTTTTGATTAAGTGTTTAACATAATCTAGAATGTTTTTACTTTGACTGGTTTCACCATTTCAATCCTAGACTAAACAAGACTTGAAATGTTTTTAGTTGGACTGAAATTTACTTGTCTAGTTTGGTTTAGTTTAGTATGTTAAAGTCTGGTCTACTCCGACTGGTCTGATTTTGGTCTGGTATGAGACTGAAATAAGTCCAATTTAAAACATCCTTAAACAGACGAAATTAGTTTTAATATATCACACCAGATTTTGACAATTGTATTATACACATTGACCAATCAGATCAGTTCAGTCCAGATAAAACAAGGCTTAAATAGATAAAAAAATTAAAATACAAATAACAAGACAAATGAATTGACTAGCATGAATTAGGATAAACAAATATCTCATTAGTTCGAAATTCAAGATTACTACAGAGCATATTTTAGATAATCTTCAAAATCATCATCCATTGTAAAAAGAAAATTGTGAAATAAAAAAATAAAGCATTAAAATGTGTTACAACTATTTATATAGTTAAAATTAATAATCCTGATTATATGAGGTTTTTGATCATATTTTAAAGATAATCATTTACAAAAAGTTAAAACAAAATTTAAGGAACCATAACAACAAACTTTTTTTTTTTAAATTTTAAAAAGTTGCAATACAGAGTTTGGTTTTTGGTGCGCTGTGTACTAGGAGTTGAGTTTGGTGAGCAAGTCTAATCTTCAGCGAGTGAGTTCAAAGGGCAAAAGGGGGTGCGCCCAGTATGTTTTGCGGTGCGCGAAGGAGGAGCGAATACAAACTTGCCCTATAATTAGAGCTGGTTGGTTTGTGTAACCCTAATAGAATTCTCCTGCCTGCCGCTTGTTTCTGCGCATCTCTTCTCTACCTTACGCCGCCCTCATCTTTCAAGAGTGTGAACATGGCTCGCCGGAGCTCTGGTATTCCCGTATCTGTTTTTTTCCGGACATTTCATTCAATTTTCAATGTCTTGAATTGGTTGAGGGGTTGAATTGATTATTGATCTTCATTCTTTCGGGAAAATCGGATAGTTATGGTGAGTTCAACTGAAAGTCCTTCATCTTCTTATTGAGGATAACGAGGATAGAATGGCTTCGTGGTTAGTAAGATTTTTTTATGCTGGGATGGTCTTTCGGTTGAACTGCTATCTCCATCTTATTTTGGGGGAAACGGAAACATATTTTTATCTTGCCATTCGTTGTTAAAACTAGTTTGCCGTACCGATAAATTTGTTCTCTCTCATCTTGACGTGTCCTTGAGTTGCTTCATGTTTTGACTTGTGATTCAGGAAGATCTGCACGTCCTGTTCCTCGCCGAGCTGCTCCAGCACCAGCTCCTGGTATTACATTGAGCCATATTTGTCTCGGTCATCCATTTCCTATTAACTCTTTCATCTGAATTAATTTTGCATTACTGAGAGAACATTATCTTTTCTTCTCATTGAGGTCATAAGGTTTCCACAAATATTCGGAGATGTTACCTATTCGTGTTTTGTTGGTTCTTAATGACATTTACGTAGCATCAGGTGTTGAATGACAGATATGTAGAGGACAAATATTACATGTAGAACAACAACAACCTGCATTGTCTTTGTATTGTAAAGACATTTACGTAGCATCATGTGTTGAATGAAGGATAATTAGATGACAAAAAATATATCTAGAACAACAATCTGCAATATCATTTGAATTCAAAAGCTTGGTTATGTACTACTATTTTTAGCATTGCTTATGACGTTGACTCTTTCTTTCTATTGCAGTAAAGAGTGCACCTCCTGCAGCACCCATGCAAAGCAGTGGTGGGGGGTCTATGTTGGGAAACATTGGATCTACCATCGCTCAAGGTGATTCTATACAGTTCAATTTATCTTGTGATTTTAATTCACTTTTATTTGGCTACGGTTTCAAGCATATCAGTAAAAGTGAGAACAAATTATAACATAAAGATGGTGTTTTTTTTGTAAATTGTATGATCTTTACTAAATACAGAAAATACTTATGAATTATAAAGGTAGCCAATTTGAACAGTAAATTAGTTTAATAAGCTGAATATTCAGTATAACGTACTAGAATGTCACAACCAAGATTATGCATACTTTTATTTAAAAAAATGAAGGTATAAGTTAGAACACATCATCATCAAACTTCGGTACAAATTTGAAAAACCCATAATGAAGTCCAGATGGGCTTACTAATGAAGCAGCCTGTGCCCGTCCTCTTTCTTTCATGTATTGGGGAGTATAAGCCTATGCGATTTTATTAAAATGGATGCATGCGAAGCAATGAAGGAGAATATTAAAGGGATTCTTTTGTTGATATAACAAACCAGGCTCCAATAAACCAGTAACACTTCTAGTATGTCTAAATCTACTCATTCTAGACAATAAGCATGTAGATGTAATGAAAGAGTTAATACCAAACCTGTTACTTTTGTTCTTTCTTTCTATCCTCTTCCTTTCATGTAACGGGGAAAAGACAAGGCTATGAGGTTTTGTTGGAAAAAAGGTTTTCCAATTTCCAAGCAATGAAGATAAAAAGAAGAGATCCTTTTGTAGATCTAACGTTCGAGCAACAATACACTAACATCTCTTCTAATCTTCTTTAAACTACTTATTGGAGACAATGAGCTTGTAGGTCTAATGATAGAGAAAATAACAAATTACCTACACCCTTATGTAGCACCGAATCGTGAAAGTCATGAAGAAACGAAAAATGGAAAACATAAACTTTTCCCCAAAAAAGGCTAGTTTGGAGAGTTTCCAAAGAGTTTCCGTAGAGTATGTTTCCAAAACGGAACCATACTCTTTCCCGAGAGTTTCCGTGCTTCATAGCTTACACCTCTCTTTCTATGCCCCTTCATTCATTTATTGGGAAGAATACAAGGGTATGAGCTTTTGGTGGAAAACGAGGCATGCCAAGCATGAAGAAAAAAATCTGAAAGGATCCTGTTCTAGTTCTAACAGCCCGGGCAATAATAAGTTTGTATCTCCTCTACTTTTTCTAATTCTACTCATTGGAGACAATGAGCTTGTAGTTCTATTGATGTGGTAATACCAAACCATTTATTCCTGTCTTTCTAAATCTACTTATTAGAGAATAGAGACCAAACATATAAGGTCTAGTCCGGTAAGCGAGTTCTTCCTCAAGATATACTCAAGTAGCAAAGAGTTTTCAGTCAAATCATTTTCACATAAATTTTTTCAATTGGGCAAGTTTACTTCGAGTGAATGCCCATTGCAGTTCTTTTGGAGTTGTGATTTTAGATGCGATGCAATTTGGTTGACTTGATTTGATACATTGAGAAATGCAATCTTAACAACCATGGTGAGCATGGAATGACAAAAGTGCCCTTTCTATAAGAACATAAGTAAAAATAGAGAACAGTACACAAATTCCTTTTCCCCCACTGTTACCATAAGAAAACTCAAAGTGAGTAAGCCAAGCCTCACAAACAACCCCCATCTTCTTTTGGCTGTCCATCTGCCTTTTTCTTAACTTTCCTTTTAACGAACAAACCAAAATATCCTTTATTGCAGACTGCATGTGTTTTCCATTTTTTCACAGGTATGGCTTTCGGTACTGGAAGTGCTGTGGCTCATCGGGCTGTAGATGCTGTAATGGGTCCACGCACGGTTCAGCATGAAATGGCTGCGGCTCCAACACCTGAGGCTCAAGTGTCATCCGTATCCAACAGCTTTGGGGGCTCTGAGGCTTGCAATATGCACTCTAAGGCCTTCCAAGATGTAAGTTCATACCATTTTCTGTTGTTTTTTTAGATTGGTAAACTTTCACTGCTTGCTGTTTGGTATGTGAAAATAGAGATGTGAGCTTTCAATATTCCATTTTCTCATTTAAGTGGTGACTGAAAAAGTTTAGGTCTCCTTCAACATCCAATTTTACATACCAGAATGCTATTATATTCAATTTTGGATTGTGCAGTAGGATAGAGTAATTTGATTGTAGAATATTCTATCACTCTTGCTAATTTGAAATAGGAAAATCTGTCAAATAAGTCCTTGTATTATGCCTAAAAAGTCAATTGAGTCCTTCAACTTTTTAAACATTCAATTAAATCCTCCGATTATCACAAAACATTCAATCACGCTATTTTGCCGGTTCAATATATACATTCCCGGTAACTGCTGATGTGGACTGTCATGTGTAATTGATTTTTTCATTTTTCTGTTTCTTTTCCCTTTCTTCTTCCTCGTGCCCTTATGCTGCCCCCCCCCCCCCTCCTCCTTCTTCAATCGGGTTAGTGGTTATCTCATCTCTGCGTCGCCATGGATAACCTACATAATGCTTCTTTGCTGCTCTTTTTCTTTCTTTAATTTCTTGGTTTTTGGTTCTATTTCGTTCTCCATAATACCATGTCTTCGCTCTCTGCTTACACAGCCACTGTCCCCACCGCCTGTCACTCATCGCCCATCGGCTGCTGCACACAATTTCCCCAGTTGCCATTGGCCCATTTAGTCGCTCTCCACTTTCCCAGCGGCCGTCCCGCCCCTCGTCGGCTGCCGCACACAACTTCCCAACCTCGTCTTGCGCAGCCCGTCACCCACAATCTCCCAACCTCGTCGTCTATCTCCTACTGCCGCCGACCTCCTCAACCGCCGTCGCGTGGTGCCTGTCTCCCACTGCTTCCTCAACCGTCTTCCTGGGCTGCCCGTTGCCCACCTCATCCCAAACCGTTGTTGCTTGCCTCCGGAAGGAAGAATTAATGAGAGAAAAATAAACTTTGGTGAGGGCCGGAGGGCGTGAGGCAGAAAACAGGGGAGTAAGAGACTGAATGGGAAGAGAAGAAAAAATAAAAAAGGGAAAACTGTCAAATAGTTCGTCGAACTTTCATGAAAAGGTTAAATAAGTCCTTATATAGGAGGCTCTGTCCGGCCGTCGCGATTTGGGGTGGTTCCCGGTGGAATTTTTTTATGAAAATTTTTGAGCATCTTATTCATCAAGTCTAGTTTACTCATCATACCAAATTTCAGCCAAAACTTCAATTGGGAACGCATTCAAATTAATTCTTGAAGATATCTGTGAAGTTAAATGCGCAGTTATCTTCACGAATTAATTTGAATGCGTTCCCGATTGAAGTTTTAGCTGAAATTTGGTATGAGTAAACTAGGCTTGATGAATAAGATGGTAAAAAAATTTCATCAAAAAATTCCACCGAGAACTGCCCCAAATCGCGACAGCCGGTGCCTCCTATATAAGGACTTATTTGACCTGAAAGTTTGAGGACCTATTTGACAGTTTCCCCAATAAAAAATTAATATCATGTGGTGGCCAGGTCAGCTTTTACCGGAAGTGCCTTTAGGGACCCAGTTAGAAATCCCAATTGAACATTTTCTTATAGTTGAAGGATATGATTGGGTGTTTTAATAATAGAGGAACTTAATTTTTCGATATAGTACGAGGACCTATTTGACAGTTTTTCTTTGAAATATTATGTTTTAAAAACTTGACTTAAATATTTTACTTTGCTAATGGCCTCTCTAAACACTGCCAAATTCGGCTATCCTTTGCAGTGCTTGAATGCCTCTGGAAATGAGATCAGCAAGTGCCAGTTCTACATGGATATGCTGTCCGAGTGCCGCAGGAATGCAATGCTAAATGCGTAGTCATTTGGCTATTGTGTCGTTTGCTCTATGAAAGTGCTCTTGAAGCTTTTACTTTCTAATATTGGTGTCAAACTGCACTATTTGAATGGTTGGGAATTCGATTTGATTTGAATGGTTTTAAATAAACATTTTAATAATACTATCCTAGTCTGCGTCTTTCGTTTCATTTGCACTTGTGCTTGTTTTCTGATTGGATTATACTTCCCGTTCTTTAAAACATGGCCAAGTCTAAGTGCTCTTGAAGCTTTTACTTTTTAATATTGGTGTCGAACTGCACTATTTGAGTGGTTGGGAATTTGATTTCATTTGAATGGTTTTAAATAAACATTTTAATAATACTATTCGAGTCTGTGTCTTTCGTTTCATTTGCACTAGTGCTTGTTTTCTGACTAGATTATACTCTTTCTGTTTTTTAAAACTTGACCAAGTTTGACCGGCACGAGAATTAATAAAGTAAAATTGTGTGATTGATGTTTGTGCAGTAATCAATCGGAATCATAAATTTGTTACTTTAAAAAGAAAAGTGACAAAGTTTGTAATATAATCAAAAAAGGAAAGTTGATAAAGTTAAGTGTTGGAGATGCTTTATAAAAGCTGCATATGCAACATTTATATGTTGAGGGCAGCTTGTATCAGGCCGGTCTGACGGGAAACGCTCTTAGGTCGAGGCCATTTGGGACCCTTCTCGGTAGGGGTGGACTCGGGCCGGTTCGGGCCCGAGCCCGAACCGCCGGTGGGCGGTTCCGGTCCCGGTTCCGGGCCAAACCGGTTCTAATTTTTTTTTTTGGCTCTTCTATTTAACCCCCAACCCCTCCCCCTCAACCCCAAACCACCCCAAACCACCTCAAATGGCCCAAAATACCTAATCCAACCCAAAACTTAAAAAACATTCAAAAAAAAATAAAATTAAAAACCGGCCCGAACCGGCCGGGCCGGTTCACCAAAAACTGGGCTCGAGCCCGGACCGCCCAGCAGCCGGGCCGGGCCGAACCGAACCGGTGGACCCACCGGGTCCCGGGCCGGGCCGGGCCAAACAGTAACCGGGCCGGTTCCGGGCCGGGCCGCCCGGCCCGAGTCCACCCCTACTTCTCGGTTGAAGTTTTTGATGAAATTTGTTGAGCATATTCCTCATCAAGTCTAATTCATCCATATCAAATTTCAACTAAAAATTCAACCGAGAAGGCAATCAATTCGAAAATTGTGATTTATATTATACTAGTGTCTTTACCCGTGCTTTGTACGGGACAAAACATTTTTGTTTTAGTTTTACCATGTGTGTGTACGTGTGTGCATTATCATATGTATGATTTATTAGAACTAACAGAAAGTCACTTATTTAGGCGATAATAACATTGATTGATAATGTATATTCTTATTTATTAAGTATGTTTTATTTTTTACTAATTATCTAAACATGTTGTCAGTATATATCATCCATTTAAAAGAGCCCATTTTTTTTATAACTGTTGTTGCATACTACTTGCATCCAAACAAAAAAAAGAAATTTTCAACCATCTTTATCTAAACAAAAAAAAAAAGAAATTGTTAAATGCCTATTTTTAGCCATTAGATTTCATTTGTAGCTCACTGTTTTTTCAAAATTAATACTACTCATTTTTAATTTATTTATTTAATAATGGGTGTGATCATTTTTTTTTGAAGATGTTAGCCCTTCTAGAATTTAGAATTGAGCAATTAGTCCTTCTATCTCCTTTAAAAAAGGAATTAATAAGAATATATAATATTGTGACATTCTGATTTTTAATGAAGGTTATGACGACGACAACAGACCAGTTGCATAACGCGATTGGTAGTGGTCGATGTATTTTTCATTAGATTGATTTAAAATAAGTATTATTGAACGAAGAAAGGTTGCAAATGATTTAGACTCTTAGCAAGCAATTTTCACCTAGAAGGTTAGCTGAATTAAATTTATAAAAAGATTCCCACGTCAAGCTAAGTGGTATGTAATAACCGAAACATAAACATGTAAAACTATGCAATAAAAATTAAAAAATAAAGATACCCCATATTTAGAAATGAAAAATGATCTCAATTTTAGTATCGTAGTATATTAAAGTTGCATCATTGAGTAAAAGAATTACTCTTTATACATAACATATCTTATTTATCTAGCTCTTAAACACCACTTTTAGAGATATGAAACTATCGGCAAAAATATATCAAGATTTATGTTAATATTTAATATATACACTAAAGTAAAAAATAACTTTTACTTTTATAGATCAAATCAAAAAATTGATTCAAATTCAAAATGTCCTTAATTAAAAAGGTGAATACAAATTTGAGATAGCATTAAGAGAAATGTGTATTTAACAAATTTTAACACATGCAGTCTTATTTTTACCCGAATTAAAGATGATTTATTTTATTTTATTTTATTATACTACATAGAATGTAAGAAAAGTATTTAACAGTACTACTCTTGCTCCATGAGACCATGACTTCTAAAGAGCATGGATTACTGAAAAAGATTTAGATGTCTAATTCAATAGTCATAGGATTCAGTACTTATGTAAAAAAATACTACGTAACATTTTCGGACATCAATGGTGATATGTGACAATCAGTTTTATTAATGTCATGTTTTCTGCTTCAACCAGAGAAATGAAGTAAAAGATGAGTATGTGGATATGAGCACCTTTCGAAAAAACCTAAAGAAAGTAACAAATACTAGGTCTGAGATCGGTTCAGTTGTTGTTAAAATTTAAAGGAACCGTATTAAAAATTTTAAGCGCTAATTTTCTTCTTCTTAATACTCCAGGGGGGTCTGGGGGAGGGGGGCTGAGGGGACCTGGAGTAATCAGGGCTGAAACTCAGCCCATTGAGTTTCAAGCCCCTATGTGCCTAGCGGGTTTCGAACCCGAGACCTTAGCTAGACACGGTAACCTCCCATCCAGCGAGCTGGAATGTTTGGTTAATTATAGGCGCTAAATTCGGTTCAGTTCTAGTTAAAATGTAGTTGTTAAATTCGATTCAGTTCTAGTTAAATTCGGTTCGGTTCTTACATTTTTCAGTTCCTAATAAAAATTTATTATCCTCCTAAAATGAACACATTTTACCTTCAGTTACATCAAAAAATTCAAATTTCAAATGATGAAATTATGACCATTACATTATACATACATGAATAGGCCTGGACTCGGGCCGGGTGGCCCGACCCGGAACCGGCCCAAACCGGCATTGTTCCGGCCCGGCCCGGCCCGGTGACCCTGCCCGGCCCGGTGACCCGGCCCGGCCCGGTGACCCGGCCCGGCCCGGTGACCCGGCCCGGCCCGGTGGCCCGGCCCGGTGGCCCGGCCCGGCCCGGTGGCCCGGTCAGTGACCGGTCTAGGTAGGCCCGATCCGCGGGGGATCCAGTCCGGGCTTGGGTCCTTCAAAAGGCGAACCGGCCCGGCCCGGGCCACCGGGCCGGGCCAGAACAATGCCGGTTTGGGATCCAGTCCGGGCTTGGGTCCTTCAAATGGCGAACCGGCCCGGCCGGGCTGGGCCCGGTCCGGGCCGGCAACAACTATATTTTTAATTTTTGTTTAATGATTAAAAGGGCTCCTAGCCGTTGGGAATAATCCCAAACGGCTCTATTGGAGGGCTGGGGGGGGGGGGGGGTCCGGGGGGTTTGGGGGTGGTGGTGGTGGTGGGGATATAAAAAAAACCTATTTATACTCCTATTTTCCATATATTTTTTTACACCATCTTCAATTCATCATACCATCCTACTCCTACTCTCTAATTTTCTATTCTCTCATACTCAATCATCTCCATCTTCATCTTCTCCAAATCTCTCTACATATATATATTATTTATATAATTATTATTATATCAACTTATATATTAATTATCTACTTATATACATATATTATATTACTAATATTTATTATCTACTTAATATATTTATTATCTACTTATACATCTCCATCTTATTAATATTTACTTTGATATCTACTTATTATCTATATTTATTGTTATTTACTTATATATATTAAAGTATTAGATATAAGTTTATTACTTATCTTATAGTAATACACTTATATATCATATACTATAAACATTATATTATATACGGAGTATTAGTTATACAATTATATTAGTTACACTTGAATTCATGGTAATTAAATTCATCGTATTAGTTAATTTTTACATTTCTCATTATCCTAATTAGTTAATTAATACTTGTCTCGTTTTTTCTATTAACTACATTTTTTTTAATTGTTACATTTTTCATTAAAGTATAAAACTAGTTAATTGTTACATTTTTCATTTCCCTATTAGTTAATTTGTTAATTGTTGCATTTTTCATTAAAGTATAAAACTAGTTAATTGTTACATTTTTCATTTCCCTATTAGTTAATTTGTTAATTGTTGCATTTATCATAAAAGTATAAAACTAGTTAATTGTTGCATTTTTCATTAAAGTATAAAACTAGTTAATTGTTACATTTTCATTTCCCTATTAGTTAATTTGTTAATTGTTGCTATAATTTTATTAGTCGCATTTTATTATTACTATTGTACTCATATTAAAACATTTGATATAATATAATATTTGTTACATTTTAAAGATGGACCGTGGTAGACATTCTGTAGATATGGGTAATCTCCAACGCAACCGAAGGAAGGAGATTGCGACAACTCATCCTAGTTTACGCAAAGGCAAAGGTAAAGGGCGGGCCGGGTCTTCTTCTCAAAGTCGAGAAGATTTTGAAACAGGATACCAAAGGCGAGATGGGGATGTGATGTCCGATGAGCAACTACAACAACTATTGGCGGAAAATGATGGTCGCTTTTTCCATCAACAAAACATCCCGAAGTCCATTGACGAAGACGAGCTTGAGGATGAGGATGCGGAGGAGGATGCGGGGGGCAACGACAGTCACGGCACCCCGGATGATGACCAAGAGTTGGAGGACGAGGGTGGTTCATCCCAACTTGGTAAGAAATCTAAATCTCCTATTATAGAAAATAATTTTACAAAGAGGAAAGACAAAACAACCGAGAAACGGTACGCAAGTTGCAATCATTGCAATAAGGAGATAGCTTGGGAACTTCCGGCGGATACGGGAGCCTCACAAGGCATCTTAAGTCCGCGCACTTGGTGGAGTATGCGAAAATATCGAAAGACAAGGGGAAGCAAACTCAAATATTGAGGTTTGCAAATGACCAACCTTTTGGTAATTTCCAATACAATGATGCACAAAATTTGACTGGTATGGCTAACTTACTTGTTGAAAAAAATTTGCCTTATTTGTTTTCTGAAAGTCTTGCTTTTAAAGATTATGCACAAACTTGTTTAAATCCTCAATTTAGACTTTATAGTCGAAAAACAGTTAAGAAAGAAATTATAAGGCTTTATTGTGCTAAAAAGGATAGGTTACAATTTTTTTTTGCAAACTTTGATGGTCGTGTTACTATTTGTTCTGACATTTGGGAGGATACTTATCATAATTTACATAATTTGGGTCTGACTGCACATTTTATTGATAATGATTGGAATTTGCATATACATGTTCTTCCTTTTCGTGAATTTAATGATCGTCACACCGCTGAACATATTTATATTTTGATTGAACGTATTTTAAATGAGTATAATTTGATTGATAAGGTGTTTGCTATAGGTTTTGATAATGCTACTAATAATACTGCTGCTATACCTAGATTGCGTGAATTGTGTGGTTCTAATACTTTGATGGCTACATTTTTTCATCAACGATGTGCATGCCATGTTATAAATTTATGTGTGCAAGACGGTCTAAAAGCATTAGGAGATGCTATGAAGGTAGTCAAGGGGGGGGGGGGGGGGGGGGGGGAGGGATTAGAAGTATTTGGGATAATGGTCAACTTAAATTAAAATGGAAAAATTATTTGACTGAAAGAGGTGTGAAATATGTTGCTTTTCCTAAAGATTTGTCTATTCGCTGGAATAGTACTTATAAATTAATTAAAGTTTTTCTTAGATATAAAGAACATTTTCCTGCTTTTTTAAGACAATATGATAACTATATTTTAAACTCTGCTCACATCGAAAAAATTTGTAATGTTTTGATATTTTTTAATAATGCAACTGAAAGTTTTAGTCATGTTTATAAACCTACCTCAAACCAATTTATTCGTGAAGTTGTTAATCTCACCGGTGCTTTTAATGAATTTGAGAATGCCGCTTACGTGAGTTATTTTTGTGGTTTTATGAAGGATTTTTTTTTAAAAAATATTATGCACATATTCCGCATATTTATGGTATTGCATTTATTCTCGATCCTCGTTTTAGACTTGGTAATTTGGAAGAATGTTTGAAGTTCTATTATCATGCTTTTTTTGGTCTATTTCCAATGTATGACGATAACGCCATAGATCCGCAAATTGAATACAACGAGGTTAGTAATTTATTTTATGCCTTATTTAATGAGTTTCATGCACAATATGACAACGCGCCCCCTCCCCCGACACAAACATCTTCATCTAAAGGAAAATCACTTTTTAAATCTGCTTTTGGCAATCTATACTAATATAAAAAGGGAAACCAAGGAATAATGGTTACCGTATCAAAGTAATTACAACTGTTCAATCATTAACCGTTCCCACCGATACAACTCGTGTTCTTATGAACGGGTACTTCCTATTTTGTAGCTTTGGTAACTATCGGATATTATCTGACCATCACGTAGTTTCCAAATAGGTTATTTAAGTGCTTTCACCGCAGTAACATTATTGAATTGTGATTAGTTTCATTATCTTACTAAAATACAAATTGTTTTAGATACTTTTTAGTTTTTACAATCAAATTCACGCATGTGTGATTTCATTGGTATATCAATGAGAGATGAATCTCTGATATATGTGGATTTTGAAGCTCTTGGTTATCCATGATCAATAATAGGAGTCCGTGCAAAAAAAATATCAAAAATAGTTTGAGATAGATGTACCTTCACAAATTACAGGTATACACTTAACTTTTAGGGCATGTCGAAAATAAGATTTCTTCAAATCTCATGCGTAATAGGAGTCTTATGATACATTTGATGCATAGTTGTAGATCGTCTAAAGTACAAATTATTCATTGATTTAATATCGACTTAATTAGTAATAAGTAAGGATGTTTTCTTTTGAAATGTTTTCAGTCCCAGATTAGATCAGACCAGACCAGACCAGACTTTCGTAGTTATAAAATACAATACACAGAGACCAGACGTTTACCAGACCAGCAAATTTCAGTTCAGAAGAAAACATCCTAAATAGATTTCAGAAATTAGGAACACCGATAGTATATCTTAAAAAACATAAATTCTAAATGACCAATCTCACGAATAAACAATATATCTCAAAAAATAGATAGATGGGAATTGTAGCATATATAATATGTAATGAATCAGAAATAACTATTTAAATTATACTTCTATGTATCATTAGTGACCTACTGAGAAGAGAACAAACGTTTCAACTAATTTAGGTCAAGTAACAAAACTATATATTCAAATTACGGAAAATATAATTCAAAATAAAAACAGCGGATCTTTTAAACGGTAGATCTCGCTTCCACGAAGATATATGAAAAACATATGAGAAGCGATGTTAATTTTACATGTGAAAAACATAATTAATACTTCCTCCGTTCTTAAATAAATGCAACGGTCAACATTTCACATTTGTCGAGACACAACTTTGACCATTAATATATATAATTTTGTATTGGTAAAAAAACTAAATAAATTAGATTTTGAAAATTTACAATGAGACAAATTTAACAATATTTTTTTCATAAAAAATATAAATACATTAATTAATAAAAAGTAGTCAAAATACAACATGTGAATAGTGTAAAATTTGACATGCTACATTTATTTAAGAACAAAGGTAGTACATATGATGAAGAGTGACGTGCCAAGGAAAAATAGAAAGGAGAAAAAGAACCAAAAGGAGGGCAAGACAAGAATCTTCGAAAGACACATTGATAGCTGTAGGATAGCACTCCTTGGATAAAGGAACAAAATTTTTAAAAGAAATGTGTTGTTGTGTACTCCGTAGATGTTTAACGTTAACATGAAAATATTTTTTTGAAAATGAAGGGTCAATGTGAAAATGGGTTGCTCAAGACATATATACATATGCATGCCTTAGAGAGAAAGGGGAGTGTTGGGCTAAAACCATATGACCCATTAAAAAAGGTATATAATCCTATTTATTTAATTTAATGTTATAATTTCAAGCATAGACATGGACAGTCTGTTTGATGACTCTATTTATATGCATGTCAGTCAAATTTGATCAAGTTTAGTGGAATGAAAGGGGTCTTATTGTCCCGTGCATCGCACGGGTACAATACTAGTCTTATGAAAAAACTAAAACAATTCACACTACTGAACAAAACGCACTTAATGAGATTTCTTTGTATATAAATTATGAGGTAGAATTTGACGAAAATGATGACTTTGACGTTCTAAAGTGGTGGAAGTCAAAAAAAGAATGTTCCCGATTTTAGCACGGATGGCTAAGCAAGTGCTATCAATGTCGGTTTCAACAGTTGCCGTGGAACAAGAATTTAGTTCGGCCAGCAACATCCTAACGGCATCTAGAACGAGTTTGAACGTAGAGTCTTTTGAGACGCTTATATGCTATTACGATTTGTTGAAGACCATACGTAGAACTCAAGAAATTAGCATCACCCCCTCCCAAGACTTTATGAATGAATCAACAACCCAGGGTGGCTCCTATGCCGGAGATTCCGATTGATTAGTATTTTACAATTTATTATAAAATGTATTTGATGTTTTAATTTTTCCCTCAATTCTCTATTGTAATTTGTAAACTTGTAGTTCATATTTCAAATAAATATACATTCATTTTTTTTGTATATGTATAACTTCTCAAATTAATTAATTGGTTACAACTCACAACTTATAATTAATTATATTATTATTTATTAGAAAATGTATTTCATATTGTATTTTTGTTCTTAATTCTCAAATGTAGTTCTTATTTCACATAAATGCCCTTGAAGTTGTATAAATAAGTAGGGGGGAAAAAATATAGGCCCGACCCGGCGAGTGGCCCGGCCCGGGACCCGGGCGGGTGACCCGGCCCGAACCGGCACCGGCCTCACCACGGTACGGGCTCGGGCCTGCTCCCAAGGTTCCAAGGCCCGGCCGGGCCTAGGCCCGGCCCGGGCCCGACCTGGCTCGAGTCCAGGCCTATACATGAAATTCCAATGTTCAAATATCACAAAAATATCCTAATACAAACATTAAGTTTAAACATAACAAAACATAAAGGTTTAAAATACGCACCAAAAGTAAAAAGCAATATCCAATAGCAGATAGTTCGACCTCAAAATAATATTCTTCTACTAGTAAAGCATCATAAGTAAAAAAATACGTAGTAATAAACTGACCAATAGTATTTGTAATTTACTATGAACAAATAACAACGTAATTAGCGGAATATTCTTATCAAATAACAAATACAATCACAAACAAATAATAAATATAAAAGTGAATTAAAGTAGTAAAATAACTACTCGAATTGGCGTGGCCTACAATATATAAGGTATATTATGCAAGACCAATATTCCTGACAAAATTTTTCTGTCTGGAACGCCTCTGGCTACCTCCATTTGAGGTGCTTCCGGGTAGAATTTTTGATGATATTTTGTGAGCATGTTCTACATGAAGTGTAGATTACATCCACTAAATTTTAGCTTAAAATGAAATCGGGAAGTGAGTTAAATAAAATATAGAAAAATATTGTGTTTCTATATGTATTTTGACGTAGGGTTTTTCAATAATTTATTTAACTAACTTCTCGATTGAATTTTAAACTCAAATTTAGAGGATATAATCTACATTTCATTGAAAACAAGCTCACAAAATTTCACCAAAAAAATCCATTCAAAAGCACCTCAAATGAAGATTACTCATGAAATGTATAAGAAGTTGGGTTCCTGTCTAGGAACCGGAATCGAACCGGAACCAAACGGATCATATACTATAGGAACCGAACCGAAAAAAGATGAATAAGTTAATAGCTTCCAGCTAACCAAGACTTTGGAAATAAGTTGATTTTGGATCCTGTAAGGGAAAGATGTCAAATTTATCTTGACGTGAGCAACTTCCTCCCATATGAGGCAAAGGATGGACTCGGTAGAGGCGGTGGGAGGGAGGCCCAGGTGTTCTTCGGCGCACTCGTCCGCGGAGGCAGATTCTTGAAAGATCCAGACATGTCACCGATTGAATTCTCCAGCTACGATTGCATCTTGCAAAAGGAGGTGGTAGGGATGATAGTGAGGACGGGCTTAATGAAACTGTGGGCGAGAAAGTTGATGACTAGGGTTAAAGCCTTGTCTAGAACGTGGGCGGTTCCGTCGATAATCTGCCTCATCGGCCGCTCGTCTTGCCAGAGAAGCGCAACAATAATCTGCTCGGACAGCTCCACTTTGGACACCATTACCATGCCTCAGCAAGGGAAAGAAGTCGACTTGGCAGGAAGAAAGAGAGAGAAAAGGGAAAAAGAAAAAAAAATTAAAAGATATAAAACAGTAAAAAAAAAAGGGGGGTTAGCCGGAAATCCACGTATGCAAATGACCGGGTGTTACCAGCTTGTTACCTACGGAATAGCAAAATTGGTTGTATTTAAACACTTGATGGACTTGAATAACTCACTTTAAAGTATGAGAACTCAATTGATTTTTTTTGTAAAAGTACAGGGACCTATTTGACAGTTTTCCCTTGTAATGTTGACATATGCTATTTAAGGGATTGCTTTATTATATATTTATATTACATAGATTCATCGGTTTCACTGCTTTCGCGTAATTGATAGCAATCGTTTACATGAATTACAACATAATGTAGCAGTTGTATTGGAGTCGAGCAGTCTATTGGGAGATAACATTCTTATTAATGGCGAAATAAATACTTCAACAATAGCATATTTACAACTTAGGGCCGAGAGTTTCAGAATTCATTAGAGTTACAATGCAACCATTGTGATCATTCAAATATTATGACAATGTCAAAACCTGCCGTCATACAAGCACTGTTCCTTGGCAGAAATTAGGCTTTCTGAATGACTGAACACCTCAAGCCCAACGGCTCTTTGAAATGAATCTGCATCATTGACTATAGCGGAAAATTCTCAAATTCTCGAGGATATTGTGATTTGTGAATTGTCAAAGGATAAACCAGTACCCCCCCCCCCCCCCCCCCAAAAAAAAAGGCCTGTTCCAACAGTTTTTTGTCCTTAAATGAGTTCAATTTCATCAAACAAAGCTAATCGTGTAATTTGCGGGGGGAAACAAACATGGTCTATACTACGGAGTATTACTTTTGTACGATGCCTTTTATAGTAATAGACTTATAGTAGTATGTTGCCATTAACCAAATATGACTTTTTTTGGGACAGAGTATTATTATTGCTTTATTAAAGTAAGAACATACCTACAAAATTTGAAGAAAGGATAAACAGCATCAACCTGCAAGTAGCAAATCTACTCGTGCAGCTTCAGGCGATGAAAGAAAATCAAGAAATGATACTCAGTGGCCCAGTAAACAAACCCGATGACAGGTCCTCCTTTGATGTACTGTATGAAGAATCAAATTAATAAGGAACGATGTAAGAAAGGAAAATGACAAGGGCTATGTGTAGACCGGTATTGCAAACTCATACTCAATATTAAGTGGAGGGAACTCGTTGCAAACCTTTCCGTCCAGAATAACTAGCTCTCCATCAGCCCATCGAGGATTTTGAAATCCTGGTTCAGCCAGCCTTCCTTGCCCCTTATACCGAGCAATCTGCATTGTTGATAAAACATCACTGACCCTTGGGAAGAAAAATGAATACGCGTGTGTGACAATAATAATGACATAACACTGGATGAATGCCGGAGTGAGATGAAATCTTTGCAGATAAATATCACAACTAAACATACCACACCAAACTCTTCTGGAAAAATCCCTTTATGTGGTAGTTGATATTGCTTTCCAACTTTTGCACGGAAGGCAATCTGCCAAAGAAAAGCTATAATTTAACTATGGTTTTGCAAGAGATTAAAAGTAGAAAGGTCTGTTTATATGCTTTAAAATTATAAAATCATAGCACGGAAACTAACAGTCACAGTGTTTCTGGGAATAACAATATAAGGGAAAACACGGAGGTAGATTATAGACAGAAAGACACTTTAACTTGTTTGGGAAGGAAGAGAACATAGGGATAATAAGGAAAATATACTTTCTTTTATATCCTCCTATTTCTCTCTAAATTGGATGAAAAAACATGGCATTATTCTTTCTCAAACTTAACTTTCTATCCTGCATTCCTGCACTTTAAATTTTGAAATTTGTTTATAGCATCACATCATTATTTCTATCAAAATCAATAACGAAAAATAAACCAATTAAATTTCCTTTCCTTTCATATTTTAAATCAATCCAAACATGAGCACTGATGATACAAAAGGAAAATAGAAATTATTTTCCATTCTCATTTTCCTATGTTCCTATGGCTATTCTGAATTACCTGGCCAGCAGGCACATAAAGATCTCCGGTTAATTTTACAGCTTCAACATATTCATAAAATTGAACATTAGACGAGTCCATCGTAATGCCATCTTCTTTCCACTGGCCAAATCTATGCCTTAGGTGGATGACTTCTGAAGACCGAATACCAGGCGTACTAACATATAGCCCTAATATAAATCAGAACATAATTAATAATAGATAATATAGAATAAATGGGGGCAGTCATAATTAATATGGTAGTCGCTATGAGGTAAATGAAAGAGCAAAAACCAAACAGAAAACAATCTCAATGACATATATAGTACTGCTAAGGTTCCCATAGCAAAAGGGCACAAAGTTTTAGGAAAGCAATTAAACAAAGTAGTTTGACATAAAACATAGGAAAGGAAAAGATTAAAAAAGGTAGACAATTAAAGCAAATATTTGGGTGGAGTAATATAAGAAGAATGGTCTTATTATAAGTGTGTTTATTTTATAAGTAAATGATAAAGTCATAATTAAAAACCTATAATTTTTTACCAAAAAGGTAAAGGAATCTTGATATGGGACGTCCATAAAAGATGAGTGGGAGCCTTAGTTGGGATGGAAGGAGATATACAAATGGTATTTGGTTCGTTTATAAATAATTCTAATTCATCACCATTTAATGGATCCTGAGATGCTGGAACCTTAATGCGGTTAAAAGTAGTTGATTTTGGCAATGGCTGAGGATATTGAGCCTGATTTAGAGAAAGAGTGAACAACTCACTAACATCTTTAAGCACCTGCAGATTTAAAGGCATATATGGAAAATCAATAATAGTCACTCACAGGAAGAAACAATTAAGATCCAGATAAACAAACTTAGCAAGTGTAACCTTCATAGGGATTTTTCCCCTGCCAATAGATTTCGCAAGATCAAGCATTATATGGTCTACGCTTCGTTGACCCTGGAATTTAGGACTTTTATTTGGTGAAGATTCATTGCTACCAGAAGTTTGTTTATTGTCTTCATCTACAGTCAAAGTGAATGATAAACGACTATTTCTTTCCAGCCTAGCCGGTACACGCATAAAATCTTCATTGTGAACATTGCTAGATCTCTTCAGTACAGGGCCACTGACAACAACCTTAAAAGAAATGTGATGTTCCCGATCACCATCTGTAATCTCGCGATCTACATCCATTTCAATTCCATCCTGCTCTTTGTTGTTTTTATCTTCAACTTCTTCTTCAGCACCCACGCTTTCTATCTCAGGATTGATTTCCCCAACTTCTACCCCTTCGTCTTCGTCTTCATCTTCATCTTCATCTTCAATTAATTGTTCAATCACCTTTGATATTAAATCTCTATCTGCCTTAGCTGGGGCTGTTACTTTCAAAACCTTGACCTTCACACCAGGAATCATGTTTTGTAATTCATTACGAAAAACAGATTCATCATCACCGTCTTCATCATCTTCTGAAACTTCACTGTCATTTCCAAATAGATCATCTTTGTTTTCAGTTGGACTCGGTGTGTCCAAGTTAGTTGCAGCATCAGATGCTTTGGAGGAAGAAATTGTTAAGTCCTGAGCAGCTGTTACCCGCTTTAAGTAGACGGCCTGAAATAATGATTAACCCAAATTGCACAACTCTCTTAAGGTAAATGTCTCTTCAGGTACAACTGTGGTTTTTAAGGCGATAATTAATGTTGTCATGAGGGGGCATACATACCCCTACTGATTTCATTTCTAGATATTAAATTAACAAGCAACATTGAAATAAATTTGGGAGAATCGGAGAAACAACAAAAAGTAAATTTCTTTTGTTTACTTGTCTTTACTCTTTAGATGAGTAGTCAGTAGATGAATGATAAAACCAATCAGAGCAAAACCTGTAGCTTTAAAGAAAGGGAAAGTTCTCGAAATAGGAGTAAAAAGTTTGAAAATTCCCAAATAGGACTGTCATGTTTTTATTCCCAAAATACTGCCATGTCTAGAGTCTAGTATTGCCAAAACATGGCATTAATTAGTCCTATTTTGAGAATAAAAACATGATAGTCCTATTTTGGAATATACAAACGTGTTTAGTCCTATTTAGAGTAATTTCCCTTTAAGAAACTATGAATGTACCTGCAGCCTGTACTTGTCTTTCTTTTGCATTGTGAGAAATATCTCAAAGATGGGGGAGCCTTCCCTTGCAGAGGCAAGCTGCCTGAAAATTGGATGGATAGCCCAATGACTAATGCATTTTTTCATATTAATTTTTCAATAAAGTTAATCAAGTAATGCACCTCGGAGTATAACTTCTAGCAACATATCTTCCATACTCAGCACTAATATGGATAATGTGCCCAAAAGGATCACTATCAGAAACTCCAGCCCACCATCCCACCTATACTCAAATGAAAAGCTTTGTTATATTCAGGAACCTGTGGTGCACTCAACAGAACAATGCATTGTCCAGTAGCCACAAACCTCAAAGGTTCACTTGCATATCTACCAAAACTAACAAATTAAAATGTGGGGAAAACAACTAGAGACAATATGCACTCAGAGATTGTGTAAGATCCTTCAACACTTCACATAGCAAACGTATAAAGTATATACTCTCCATCCCATTGGACATTGCCAACTTTCCTTTTTTGGTTGTCCCAAAAACTTTGACACTTCCCCTTTAAAGTAACTAATTTGTGGTTTTGCTTATTTCTCCGGTACAAACCTCAACCACACATTTTTTACTTTTCTTATTTCACACCTAACACGAACTTTGCAATGTCCAATGGGACGGAGGTAGTATAATTTAAGAAGAACAACTGCTCCTTTGTAGCTATATTTTTATGCTCATCAACTTTGTCACCCAAGCTTTCTACCAAATATTAACTTAAAGTGAATTGGCAGATAATGAAAAGTAGTGCATAAAATACTTCTTTTGCTGAACAGAAGTAAATGACTCTTTTTCCTCTTTTTCCTCTGTTCATTTTAAATGTTAACTTCTTTAGCTCACTTGGGAAAAAATAGAACACGAGAGGGAAAATATAGAACGGGTTTAGTATACATATTTGAATGTTGGACGATGAAAAAAGATTTGTTGAGGAAGATAAGTGAATGGGAATATGTATGTTGTGACTTGTGATGGACTGACGGATATGTAATAAGGATATAAAAGATAGAGTGCATTACAAGCCAACGAGGAGATTCGTGAGAGGGTAGACATAGCCAGTATTGAATATGCAATAATGGAGATTGGATGAAAACTGTCGAGGAGTAAGTGTCTTGATTCGGACAACGGAGGCTAAAAGGATGGGAGACTTAAGAGAAGTTGGAAGTAGGGTATTTCGAAATGACTTAGACTAAAGTTGAAAACAGGGATATTAGAGTGTTGGGGCTCAATGAGCATATGGTGGCTGGCCAAAAGGATCAACAACAGAAACAACAACCCAGCCTTATTCCCAAAAGACTTTGGGGTCGACTCACATGAATCGATTCATGATATTAGAGTAAAAAAGAGAATAAAAGATAAGAATAAAAATATAAAGTAAGATCAAAATGAATAAGATAAAGATAAACATAAGATAGAAATAACATAAGAACATAAGAAAGATAAAAGATAAGAAGATAAAAGAGCATAAGAAATATGAAAAACATAAGAACGTAGAAATATAAAGAAGATAAAAGAGAGAGGAAAGAGAGAAAAGAAATCAGACGTCCACAAAGATATGCGCCTTCCACTTTGCCCTCTTCAAAGTCATACTCTCATCCAACCCAAGAAGAAGCATATCAGTTCTGATTCCTCTAATCTAAGTATGTTCAAGTCTTCCTCTCCCTCTACTTCCCGCATATTTTCCCCACTTCTCAAGTCGTCTAACAGGTGCATCATTCGGTCTTTTGCAGTTTGCACACATGACCAAACCAACACAATCAAGACTCCTGCATATTATCTTCTATAAGTGTTACTCTCACCTTTTATTATCTCATTTCTTGAGCGGTCTTTTCTGGTATGTCCATACATCCAACGCAGTGTACGCATCTCTACCACACTCATCTAGTGAATTGTGACATTGTTGCACCGTCCAAAACTCCACCCATACATTAATGCAGGCCTAATTGTTGTTCGATAGAATTTACCCTCCAGTCTAGTCCACATACCTCAATCACATAAAAATCATGATGCACTCTTATTTCATCCACTCTGCACTGATTCTATGGGATACATCTCCATTTAATTCATCATTTTTCTTACTTATGGAGCCAAAGTAACAAAACATATCACACACCGGTATCTCTTTGTCATCAAGGGTAATCCCATTGTTACTACTACTTATACATCCACTAAATTTGCATTCCATATACAATCTTGTTTCGGTTCATTCTAAAACTCTTGATCTCCAATGTTTGTCGCCATACTTTCCCCTTTACTTTAACACCCAATTGCGTCTCATCAATCAATACAATATCATCGGCAAACATTATGCACCACAATATATCTTCTTGAATTGATTTCATAAGTTCATCCATGACTGTAGCAAATAAGAAAGGACTCAGAGCCGATCATTGGTGCACTCTGATAGTAATAGGGAGCTCTACATATCCATGATGATACTCATAGACTTAAGTGATATGCCTTTTCTAGTTCAGGCCCACCAAAGGACTTCTCGAGGTACCCTATCATATACTTTTTTTAAGTCAATGAACACCAAATGCAGATCTTTTTAGTGTCTCTATACTTCTCCACAACTTGTCTAAGAAGGTGAATGACCTTAGTTGTTCAACGTTCAAGCATAAAAGCAAACCGATTCTCCGAAATTTTCACACTTTTTCGGAGTCTTTGCTCAACCACTCACTCCCAAAGTTTCATGGTGTGACTCATAAGCTTAACGCCCCGATAATTGGCACATTCTTGTACATCACCCATATTTTTAAATAGGGAATGAGAGTACTCTTCCCCCAATTCACTTACATTTTGTTGTTTCTCCAAATCAGGTTGAAGAAACGTGTTGATAAGAACAGAAAAATAAAATCAACGGGGTGAACCGTTGCCCAGATAATCAACGATAAATAAATACCGTTGCCCAAAGCCAAAAGGCTAAACCAACTTTTATTCCAAGATGAGCCAGAATGAATCCTAACAAGGGGTTTAAATACCCATCTACTAATAATTAAACTAGGAAACAAAATCCTAGAAATCCTAATCAACTCTAACAGAATAATAAAGATCCTAATCAACTCCAAATAGGAAAGAAATAATAGAAATCCTAATTAACTCCTAATAGGAAACAAATATTAGAAATCCTAATTAACTCCTAATAGGAAACAAATCAGGAAAATTAAAAAGAATAAATATTAATTAAACAGCCCGTAACCAGCCCACGGAGGTAGGCTCAAGCCTGTCCCGCCTTCGGTAAACCCACGGGGGCTTCTTCCTCTCTTCTTCCAAGCCCGGATTCTGCTTCATATCAATTCCATCCCTCTTCGAAAAAACCTTGTCCTCAAGGTTGAAATCCGGAAACCAGCTCATATTTGTCCCCGGGGGCTGCCCCGTATCTTGAGGAAAGCTGCCACTTGATCTTTTCAGCTTGTTCATGAAATACCCCAAGTAATAATCATCGAACAGTCCGGGAACCTGACTGGCCAATTGAACAAAAAGGTTATTATATTCCTCTACGGTTCCCAACTGTTTGACCCCGAACAGCCGTTTGAATCGGCTTTCTTTGAACCGTGAATCAAATCGGGCCACCTGTGCTTGTGTAAATTTCTCCCAGGTCATGCTCGGTTTTTGTGCCTTCAACCAGGTCAACCCGTCCAAGGCAGCTCCTTCCATGGCTACCGTAGCTGCTGTCACTTTCCTCTCAGGTAGGGTTTGATTAATTTCGAACTTTTGCTCAGCCCTAGCTATCCACCTAATCGGTTCTTTTCTGTCGAACATGGGCAGCAACGTTGGAGGAGTGTTGCGCGGAGGTCTATCGTTGTGTGTTGCCGTTACGATGGCGGCACCGATGACTGTGTCTGATGGTGTCTCCGTCGTGATCGATGGCACAAGGGCCTTGGTCAGTGCCGCAAGAGATGCGGCGATCTCATCCAGCCGCCTGCCGTTTGCTTCCAGGGTTTGCTTCATCTCTGACAAATGTTCACTGATAGATCTCGTCATTGTGGCGGGACGGGATCCGGCAGGTCGGACCAATTGATAAGAACAGAAAAATAAAATCAACGGGGTGAACCGTTGCCCAGATAATCAACGATAAATAAATACCGTTGCCCAAAGCCAAAAGGCTAAACCAACTTTTATTCCAAGATGAGCCAGAATGAATCCTAACAAGGGGTTTAAATACCCATCTACTAATAATTAAACTAGGAAACAAAATCCTAGAAATCCTAATCAACTCTAACAGAATAATAAAGATCCTAATCAACTCCAAATAGGAAAGAAATAATAGAAATCCTAATTAACTCCTAATAGGAAACAAATCAGGAAAATTAAAAAGAATAAATATTAATTAAACAGCCCGTAACCAGCCCACGGAGGTAGGCTCAAGCCTGTCCCGCCTTCGGTAAACCCACGGGGGCTTCTTCCTCTCTTCTTCCAAGCCCAGATTCTGCTTCATATCACGTGTTAACCACTCAATGTCTTTCTCTCCCAAACTTCTCAGAGCCACTTTAACTTCTGTCGGTTGCATCCTTCTCACAAAGTCCCGTTTACCATACAATCTGGTGTAGTAAAATCATCAATACCTTGCACTTTATTCCTCTTGAACAAAGTATTAAAAGTATGACCTCTACCTGTCTTTTATTTCCTCGTCTTCCATTACTTTGATCAACATCTTTCACATACTTAACTTTTCTGATATCTTGAGTCCTATGATCACGAAGGCAAGCAAATCCATAAATATCTTTCTCTACTTCCTTAGAGTCTAATTTTACATACAATTCTTTGTTCACTTTTCCTCCTGTTTCCTTTACGACTTTCTTTGTTTTTCTTTAAACCTCCTAGTACTCATCTATGTTCTCATCGCTCTAACTTTTGCCCAACTTTTTGTAGCATTCCCTTATGGTCTTTATGGCTTGTGTCACCTCATCATTCCACCAAGATGTGTCCTTTTTTGGTGGTAGACATTCTTTAGATTCTCTGAATATCTCGTTCGATACTTTGTTAATGGTCGACTCCATTGATAACCACACATCATCCACATCTTCCTCAAACATTTTGTGTGCAAAACTTTGTTGAAGATCCCCTCGAGCCTCCACCACTTTATCTTTGGTTCCATTTGTACATTAATCCGCCTTCTTTTCTTATCTTAAAAATTAATCAAAAGCACGCTATGCTGAGTGACAGGAATCTCACCTGAGATAACTTTACAATCACTGTAGCTAGTTCTCCAAGCCGTCCGTACTAAAAAGTATGCAATTTGGGTATTATTAACTCGACTTGTATATGTCATAAGATGAGAGTCTCTTTTCTTGAACCAAGTGTTCATTAAAGCCAACTCATATGTCGAGGTAAAATCCAAAATATTCTTCCCCGCTTCATTTCTAGTGCCAAAACCATGCCCATCATGGATACTCTCAAAACCATCACGACTTGGGCCCACATGCCCGTTTAGATCGCCTCCTATGATTAACTTCTCTCTCCTTGGCACTCATTGCACAACTTCTTCACAATCTTCTCGAAATTGTTGAGTGATAGATGCTTACAATCCCACTTGTGGTGCATAAACACTTATAATGAACATAATCTCATCTCCTATTACTAATTTAATGCTCATGATGCGGTCATTCTTTCTAAAGACTTCCACCACACCTTCAACATAATCACACACCACAACAATGCTTACTCCAATTCTGGTCTTCTCTCTTTCGCGAATAACACAACTTAAAACCTCTGAGATTAATCTCACGTGCCTTTTCTCCAACCCACTTAGTTTCTTATACGCACATAATGTTGGTATTCTTCCTCCTCATAACCTGACTACCTCAGATGATTTTCCCGTAAGAGAGCCAACATTTCACGTCTTAAAATGCGATCTAGCACCCTACCTTATCTTCTTCACACCACATTGACCCTCACCATGCCCTTGCATATTTGACACCATCCCTGTGGATTGGAGTGTCGTATCGCTTCCGGGCGACGACCTAGAAAGCTTAACATTCTTATCACCACACCGAGACGTATGAAGTGTAGTGCACTCTTGCATATTTGACACTACCCAAGCGGAGGGGTGACACGTCGCTTATAGACAACGACCTAGCTGTAGCGATATTCATATTTTGATTTATGTCATGTGATGTGACTAGGTGATACTGTTGGCTGTCACGCGCCTATCACATCACCCTCTTCCTTTATCCTAGCCAACACCATGTACAAACAAAATTTTATTGGCAAGAGATTTTTTACTAGTTAGTTCACCTAGAAGACCTCATCAATTTGGGATTGTGCCTTGTTGTCCTTGCAGTTTGGATTTTGAAGTCCACAAAGGAAAGGGGGAATTGGACTTCGCACTCCATTTTTCGTCCAATTTTGAATTTGCACCTCATTACCAAAATGATTAATATAGCATCCCAAAGTTTAAAAAAATGTTAAATTGGGGTGTAAAATTTAATTTATAGGTTGAAATTAATATGATTTTGAGAACTTCAATCCCCCCTAAGCAAATCTTCATCCAGTAACTTCCTTATTTCAGTCAAATTTTACGTTTACTAGAAGTGCTATAACTCTTAAGATAGAATGTAGATAAGATATCATATAATACTAAAAACCAAAAGAATGACAAAGCGCAAATAATCATCACTACTTAGGTGCTAATGTTTACTTATGCTCCATACGATAAAAACTACTAACCAATCCAGCACCAGCGTAATCACGTAACCAGGCAGCATCTGAGTACCGTTCTTCCTTCACTGTGTTCTATAATTGAGTTCCAAACCGATGCATTAAATCAAGAAATGGGACCAATCAGTTATATAATAAAAATAAAATATGCGTAGTTGTGGAACTCCTACATCTAGTTGAGACTTCACTGCGCCCACAATATCATTCCTAGTAGCTGCTGCTATAGCCACCTTCAGCCTTGCTGCCCCTTCATAATCCTCTCTATTGATATATCCTGCTAATTGTGACTGCACAATAAAGACCTCCATTGGAATCGTCAAATATTTAAAGTTCTTGTTTTTATCTTCTTCGTTTGGATCTTAAAAAAAAGATGATACAATCATACAAATTACCTTTAAAGTCCAAACGAGGCGTTCTTGCTCCTCGACCTCTGAAAAGTGCTTTTCCCATCGGTCCCAATCCCATTCCTCTTCCCTCTCGGAACGCTTCCTCTCCACAATGCCCAGGCTCTCCTGATTTCCATCTGGATTAAGGAAATCATTAAACCGCTTCATCATATTCTTAACAGCCTCCAGAATCGCCCTATCCCACTTCCAGCCAGGACGGTCTTCTAAAGCCGGCAGCGATGGATCCGCGCCGCCACCGCTTAAGCAGCGGCAGCAGACATTAGAGTGCGAGCTGCAAAACGAGGATGACCTGGTCAACACAGGAACAAATTTCCCATTGGAGAAGACGAGTTTTTGGTGGTTCGGAGCAAGGCGCGCGGAAGGAGACGGGAATGGTGGGGGGGAAATGGACAGCATGTGGGAGAGCCCTTGGAATGCAATGAAAGTGCCTGAGAGTATGCGACGAGTTAACCACTGGAGACAGCAGAGAAGTAATCGGTCGAATCGCCGCCGACCTATCAGTTTACAGTGTATCGCCGGCCGACGATGGTGGGAAGTCCTAAGCTAGGATACGCATATGGAACTTGATTACCTTCTTCGTCTATCTAGCGTTTTTTAAGGGAGATGGCCTAAATTCATTCATATTGATATTTTTTTTTGGGAAAATGGTCAAATCAGTCCAGCTACTATTTCGAAAAAGTCAATTGAATCCACATACTATTTTTTTAATCAATTAAGTCCATCAAGTGTCAAAAAATGATCAAATTTGCCTTTTTCCCATTAATTGACCGGTTTTCCCAGTAATCAGCTTACGTGGATCATCCAGATGGCTTTTTTTTCTTGTAAGTGTTGATTGGGCTGTCCGCTGGCATTAAAATCTCTTTTCCATTTTGTTTTTAAATTCTTTCTTCTTCTTCTTTGTTCAACTTTCAAGTCTGCACTATGCACCTCTGCGTTTCTCCCCCTTTTCTACTTTTCTTATTCTCTTCCTCTTTTCCTCATTCTTTCTCTTTTCTTTCTTTATTCTCTTCTCTTTTTATTCCTTCTCCCCCTCTACTTTTTCATCTTTCTACCGCCGTAGATCTCTGCAACCACCAACTCCGTCGACCTCTGACGCCACCGTCACCATCGCCGTAGATCTCTGCCGCCGCCTTTTCCGTCACCATCTGGTTTCCATCATAGAAGAGCAACTTTTGCCGTTAGGTTACCCTCTGGTTGCCTTCTCTTAGCATGAAAGAAGAACGGGTGGGCAAGATTGCAAAAATGAAGGGAGGGGGAGGTTGAATTGGGTGGGGCCGTGGGGTAGAAGCGGTGGGGAAGAAGAAGAGATTGAAGAGGGGAGGAGTTGCTGGGAGAAGAAGGAGAAAATGAAAAAATAGGGAATGAAGGAGAGGCCAAGGGGTAGTTGCAGACTTGCAGGGGGCGGATGAATGGGAGGGGGTACGAACCAGAGACAGAGGAGGAAGAAGAAGGAAAATTAAAAGGGAGAAGGGAAAAAGAAAGGGAAAAGAAAAAGAAAATCTTATAAAAATGTTGAAGTGGCATCCACATCAGCACAAAGAGGGGTTACCGGTTGTTTATAGGTTAAATGACAAAATTGGTTGAAATTTGAGAGTTTGTATACTTAATTGATCGATAAAATAGTACATGGACTCAATTGACTTTTTTGAAATAGTAGGTGGACTGATTTGACAGTTTTCCTTTTTTTTTTTTATAAGAAAGAGACTTAAATTGATATTAAAACATTAACATTGAGAGAGAGTAAAAAAGTAAGGAACCATGTCCAACCGTCAGCTCGTGAACCAGACTCAAAGTTAATCACCTTCAAACAAGCAATATAACTCGCTGATCCATTAATAGGCAAACTTGAGCCACAGACGATTGAAGCAGACCAAACCTCACCCAAACTTAATGCAAGAGTCTTACAATTAAAAGAAATAAAAACAGAAAGAAACAAAGCCTGATTAACAACAATAAAAATAAATAAAGCATTAAAATAAGGAGTCTTTTTCCAAGCCGGGAGCATCACCACCGCCGCCGTACCTGAACTAGGGGTGGGATCAGTCCGGTCTGGGTCGAGTTTTTGCTAAACCCGGAAATCACCCGGAAGGTCTCGGGTTATGAAAATTAGGGACCGGAACAAAGCCCATTATATTCGGTCCGAGTCGGGTTTTTAGTAGCCCGGGTTCGGGCTGGACCGGTTAAAGCCCGGCCGTGAAATATGTCATTGTTCTTTTGTATTTTAACACTTATTTTCAAATAAAATTAATCAAAAATACAAACCGCAAACAATAACACAAATATTAGTCTCCAAAATCACCAACAATTCAAATTTAAAGAAGATAATTGTCTTAATATTTTATGTAAGGTGTATATATATAAATAATATAGGTTTCTTAAGAATATTACGAAATAAATTTATAAATCAAAAAGTTACTAGAGTTCTATAAATATATTCTCATGGTCATCATTACGCTAAACAAATTCAACACATTTGTAGTCACTAAAAGTTACTAAATCTTATTTTATCCGACGTGATTATAATCATATATTAGGAAATATTTTATTTATATTCATATACTATATTAATTTTATATTAAAACTAATTGTTTCGGGTTTTTTCGGTCCGGGCCGGGTTATAGATTTTAAGGCCCGTTAATGAGCCCGGAATTTTCGGTTCGGTCCGGATTTTTTTTAAATCGGGCCGGTTAAAAAGAAAAAACCCGGACCGGGATCATAATTCGAGTCGGTCCAGGGTCGGTTTCCGGGTTTCGGTTCGGTTTTTCCCACACCTAACCTGAACCTTTTGGACCATCCGCGCAGACCGGCGGACCTACAGGAGGTCCGCCTCCTCCCCGTTTTTTGGACCGTCCAGCGCCATGCCTTCCTTTGTAGCATCTCCGTGTTGCTCCTTTTCCCAGGTCCTTCTGCGCTTAGGTTCCCCCGAAACCTCTTCCGGACTAACAGAGTTTCCTCCCTTGATAGAGCTAGTTCCAGTTCCTGTAACATCCTTCCAGTTCTGTTTATCAACATCCTTCCCTTCAGACATTCCCATCTCAGTGCTTGACGATCCTTCAACAAGCCACTTTGTGCCTCCCGTGGGACTGGTCTTCCCCCTGTCCCCGCTCTTAGCTCGACGCCATAATTTTTATCAAAAGTGATATTTTCCCCCCTCATATACTACCGGGCAAAACTTGTCTGAGTGCCCAATAATACCGCAAACAAAACAGAAATTTGGGAGTTTTTCATATTTAAAATTTACCCATTGACTAAAACCAACCTTCTTTAGTGTGGTGCCTTTTTTCGGCAGTCTCCTAAAATCCATATGAACTCTAATTCTCAAGTAAGACTTAGAACTTTCATCAGATATGATTTTCTATCATCAAAACTAATAAAAGTTCCAATGTAATTACCAATCTTTCTAGCAGAACCCAGATTCATAAAACCATATGCAGCATCATGCACTTGCACCCAAAAATCAGCCTCATAGAGTTTAACCTGGCTAGGAATATCCTCGGCCTGAACCTCTTTTAACAATAATAAATTACGTTGAAACAACCACGACCATTCCTCAAGCACACACCTCATATCCAGAATATGATAAAAAGTAAATAAGTACCTTTTTCACCAATTTCCTGAATTGAAACCCCTTTAACAGGTCTCCACAATGATGCCATCAGTTCTTTACAAAATTGGAATTTAATCTTTCTATCAGCCAAAATGAGACCTACCACTGGAAATTCGGCCAGGCTTTTGACAGATTCCTCTCCATCTTCTTCCTCATCAAAAACTACCTCTTCTCTATCATCCCCAATAGCCATCTGTTTGTATTGGTTGACCACGTCGTCCATCAATTTGCCACCTGCAGACTGCCTGGAAACTGCCTCGCTGCAGCCAATCCGTATTCGATTCCCCACCAGATGACCGAGGATGAGTTCTCTCGTCGATGCGATGCTCCGAGGACGAAGCAGAAAGCAGCGGCCGTCCTTCGATTAAAATCGAAGACAGAGAAAAATTCTAAGGGGCTCTAGAGAGAAGCGAGAGAAAACTATAACTTTGATATTAGAATGGCTTTACTGTTCAAAACTAGCTTTACTTTTATTTTTGTTACTTTATACATTTATCAAGATAAGATAGATAAATACCGGGTAATTCCCTAAATAGGACTTAATAAATACGCAGTACCACTGTTCTAAAAATCGCTCTAGGCGCCCGACTAGTCCCCGCCTAGGCGCTAGGCGGTGGTCGGGCGTCCCGATTTTGGTCTAGGCTCTCCGACTAATTAAATCGGCGCCTAGGTGAATTCGTCGGCCGTCTAGGGCGCCTATAGCTAGTTGCCCGCCCAGAGCGCTTAATGGGCCGCCTAGGCGTCTAGATTCATCGAACAATTTGTTTTTTGCCTTTTTATTATAGTATCCTAAGAAATATGTACCTTTAACTTTGACAATGCATGTGAAGAAAACTACTAGTGAGTAAGTGAGTATATATAATATATTATTAAATGTGATAACTCTATCATTCATGCATGTTAATGTGTATGTGTGTGTGTATATTTTTTATACACACACAAATACAACATTACTAATCATATTTATGCAAAAATATTGATAAAACTACAATTTCGATGTCTCCGATTAGTCCCCGCCTAGGCGCCCGCCTAGCCGACTAGGCGCTAGGCGCTGGGCTGGCGCCCGACTAGCGTCTAGCGCCTTTTAGAACATTGCGCAGTACTAAATTGCTAGAATAAAAGTTGAAGTTTTAATATCCTTAACATATTTTAATATTAAAAATTCATGGTTTTATTTATTAAAAAATCCATAAAATAAAAAGTAAATGCGGGCATCTTGTGCTGCAGACGCCGCCTTCAAGCATCATCATTGTTGCTAATCGGGAAAAAATGCCAACATTTTTGTAAGAAAGCCAATATGAATTATGAATGTCATCAGAATGACAATTTCCAAGAAAACTACTGCCTCCGTCCCAAAAAAATTTGTTACTCTCAAAACATTGACCAATCATATCTTGTTGTTGGAAATTATTTATAATATAAAAATTATATAAAAATGTTCTTTGTTAAAAGTTGTTTCATAAAAGTACAAAACTTATAATTTCCATAATATTATATTAATCAAAATCATGGTTCAATTTTTTTGAAATGACTAAGTTTTTTTAGACGGAGGTAGTATGACATTTCGAAGAGTATAAATGTCATTTTGATGGCATTTTCAGATTGAATTTGGAATGTTTTTAACAATCAAATAACAAAATAGGGATATTTAGAAGATGAAGTGGAGCCCTTGAATTTTGTTAACAACCAAATGGGTATTCCTTTTTTTTAGTGAACTAAGGACCTTTTCAATGAGACACTTGTGGGCATCTTGTGTCACCATCTCACTGTCGTTCATGGAGTTTTCCGTTCACTGCCTATTCATGGTATTTCATAACCTCGTTGTCATCCACAGACCGCCGACCGCTACACAGGAATAGTTGGAGCTAGGGTTGGGCATATTGGTTTTCTGTTCGATTTTTATCGATTTCGGTTCGGTTTGGAACGGGTTGAAAGAATTAGTACCAAACAAAAACCATACTATTTTTCGATTTGG